GCACCTCGGAAATGTTGCAACTGATAACTATATTATGAAAGCACGAAAAGTGCTAAAATAATCCTATCATTAAAATATGTACGCTTACATTATATTGATTTCTATGGTAGGTGCCTCCCACCTTCCTTACATGGTCAATATGGAGGTAGTGTGGAATATCCTTTTTATTCTCTGCTTTAATTGAGATCTGATGGTTGTGTATCGTATGTTTAAAGGCAGCCATTTTGAGCGATATCGGAGGCGTAGTGTTAGCCAATGCCTGTGGACCTTGTATAGGACAGTGGGACAGAAAGGATGTCAAGAAGGGCGAGAAAAACACCATTGTTACATCTTACAACAGAAACTTCACCGGCCGTAACGATGCCAATCCCGCCACACACGCTTTTGTTACCTCCCCTGAGTTGGTGACGGCAATGGCCATCGCTGGAGAACTCAGTTTCAATCCAGTAACAGACAGTCTAACAGCATCTGATGGTAAATATTCAGTATAAACGCTATATCTGTACCTAAGAAAGAAAAGTTACTTTAAGTCATTTTAAAGTTAATTATTTTTTAGAATAACAACGACAAAATTTTCTCTTCAGCAAACCATGTAAGGGACCACAAGGATGTTAGTTCTTTACAGTGAAAGGTAATGAAGTAAGGGGACCTGAGACATTTACTTCATTATAAATAAATTTGACTGTAAAGAAATTATTTCCTTGGGGTGCCTTACAGTTGAGAACAAATTTGTTTGGTTCCCTGCTCTTCCTTATACCATGTAAACATGGTAAACATGTGTTACGCTGGAGAACTAATTTATCAGATACCAAGGGGTTTGCTTAAACCATGTTTTACTGTAAAGAAAATAATCCACCATGTCTGTGGGGTTTCTTATGATTATGTTTCCCTGTTGAGAAATAATCACTTGGTCCCCCGGGGTTTCCTATTTTTGCTGTTTTCCTGTATGTAGAGAACTATTATATTAGGTTCTCTTGGGTTTTTATTAATATTCAGGTTTCACTGTAGAAAACTTATCTTTAAGGTCCCCTTAAAGAGTATTTCACTGTCAATTAAGAATTTCTTAGGTACCCATAATTTTGTTTGCATGTTTTACTAAATGTATAGAAAATTCCTTTTAGGGTTCATTGATTTACTGTTTATGGGTTTTGTCTAGGGTCGAAATTTAAGTTTGAAAGTCCTTATGGTGACGAGCTGCCGTCCAAAGGATTTGACCCAGGAATGGATACGTTCCAGCCTCCGCCCGGAGACGGAACAAGCCTCAGAGTGGATGTTGACCCTAAAAGTGCTCGCCTTCAGTTGTTGTCTCCCTTTGACAAGTGGAACGGTCAGGATTACCTTGATATGCCAATCCTCATCAAGGTAAATGTCACAACCTTCATGGGTATATATCACTGACTCATGAAGTAAAGTCGGATAATTCGGGGAAGTTAAGATTCGCTGATCGTCATCAAGATAAATCTGACACAAGTCATAGTAAGGGCTGTTCCAGAATTAAATATAAGGGAGAAGTTCGATACACCTTTTCAGAGATCATAGGAATGTGGTTGTTTAAATTTATTTAATGAAAAACGCAAAGAATCAAAATTATCCTGGAACTAATATATTTACAATGTATGTGATATGATGCACCTTTAAGGAAATGTGTGTATTATGTAAATTATTTCAGGTGAAAGGAAAGTGTACAACTGACCACATCAGTGCTGCTGGTCAGTGGCTCAAATACAGAGGTCATCTGGACAATATCTCCAACAACCTGCTGATTGGGTAAGACCAAATATAAAATATCAAAATGTTAGATTTAGAAACTTTATTTATTTACAACAATAATTGTAAAACTAGTTTATCAACATATATTAATCGCTTTTGTTGGTCAGACTGCTTGCACACAAGGTCTTAAATGTGTGATGGAACTGGAGTGCCCAGAAAAACTCCAGTCTGTGGGGCAGATGACCCGATACCTTTTTACATTATATCGGGGAATAGAACCCTGGCTGTCTTGGTGAAAAGCGAGTCAAGTGCACTTACCAAATCCCCCATACACATGTGTTAGAACTGGTTCCTCTCCTCTGGAATCCCCCATACCGTGTGTTAGAGCTGGTTCCTCTCCTCTGGTGCCTATATACGACACTTGTGTATAGTAAATGGGTTGAATCATGCCACGTTAGCTCTATGATAAACTTAGATAAAATTTGCGTCTGTGATATCGGTGTATATGTTTCTTATTGTTAGTTTTATGTTTATGTATTTATTACAGTGCCACCAATGTGGAAAATGGTGAAATTAACAGCGTGAAGAACTGGCTTACCGGGAAATACGGCAGTGTACCCGACACGGCTAGATATTACAAGGTCGGTACCGGCAGAAAGTTTAATAAAAATATACATTTGTACAGCGCGCCCTATATAATTTGTAAAAAGAAAAATAGCAATGAAAGTTTGATGCTGTTCAGAGCTGTTTAAAAAGCATTTATATTAGGAACATTGTTCCACTTATTTCAATGAAAAGGAGCGCTTTCACATTCTTACCTGAAAGTGAGAGAAATTCCAAATTTCTGTGAGTGATAAAACCTGCAGAAAGTTACCCACGATGCAGCCAATGTTTCAGGAGGACACCTTTTTTCTATTAGACATTTTCCAAGTTATCCAGCTATGTTACTATCAATCCACATACGCTGATTGAAGGTGGTTTCATTACTACGCTCCACTTTACTCATACCAAGACATGTTAAACCTTTGGGCTGTTGTCAGGGTCTTTTTTAGAAGGAAGAGTGACATTTTTGAATGGTTTCCTCATTTCAGGCACAGAGCATCCCCTGGGTGGTTGTAGGAGATGAAAACTATGGTGAGGGAAGTAGCAGAGAACACGCTGCACTCGAGCCCCGACATCTCGGTGGACGTGCCATCATCGTCAGGAGTTTCGCCCGTATACACGGTAATACATCAACAGGCCTGCAGCCGTGTAGCGTTTTGGTGTTACCACTAGATAGTAGATATATAAGAATATATTGATGTTATTAGGTATAATGATACTACATAAATAACAATCTCAGAACTGCAAGTTTGGATTTTCCCCTCAAAATGAAATCAAATTTGTATGCTGATTATATGGAGCCGGGAACAGAGGAAATTCTTTGAAAATCTACCCCCAGCAGTGTACACTTATTATACCCCCAG